ATCTTCATCAATCAAGAGAAAATGGAATTTATGGACTTTCACATCTCCACCTTTCATCATCAGTAATCGGAAACATTTTAGCAAATGATTGTCCGCTCCCGTTCGGCCGGAGCTCTCAGCATTAGACATGGAGACACTCCCGCCTGGAAGATGTATTGGCAAGCCTCTCGAGTGACATTTATTACCCCGGGTTGGCAAATTTGTCCGGTCATTGATGTAGAGGCGGCTGTGAGGTGAATTCATACGGAAATTTTGTCGGATTGAAATTGAACAATAAAGCGCTCAAGGCATTAGAAATAAAATGCTATTGACAATGGATGAATCAAAATTGAGCATTAACAAGTTGCACAAAATGTATAGGCGATACGATTTCCAGATACCAGGGAAGTAAACGTCCAGCTGTTACCACATTCATACAAAGTACAAAATAAGCAATAATTCTGGAGTATCTAGTGTCAGCTAGTACCTTGCCGTTACGTATCCTTACTAAACCAATCTAATATAATATAAAAGCAGCCCGTACGAGAAAGCATCCTGGAAAATGATTAGGTTAGATAACGCCCAACCATTTTTCTTGACAATATTGAAGTTTGCAGCAAATCTACGATATGACACAAACATCAAAACGGCCAGGCCTTCTACGTTGTATTTGCCACAAAAATGATTCTTGGAAATGATTCGAGTAAAAATAAAAATATTAAAACAACGAAGCATTTCTTGAATCCACAGGGGTTGATGGATGCGCGGATATAGCGCACCTAATGTATCCAGTAATCCCTTCCAGTCTGTTGTAAGCTACTCGTGTAGATCGTGACCAGGGTGGCCAGATCATTTTTTGCATTATCGGTAGCTTCTCAAAACTTTTATCGGTAGTTATCGGTAGGCCGTCTTAAGAAAGCTTTCCAGATACTTGAAATCTTTGTGAGCGGGGGGGGGGGAGACTGTGCTCCAGAACAATACACTGTCCTTCAGTTCTTCTGCTCTAAACGTGTCGATATCAATATTACTAATTCTAATGCTAAGTCCTAATTCAGACTACACGGAAATCAACACATTTTTCAAGATTACTAAAAATCGGTGATTATCGGTAGAAAAGTGAAAAATCTGTAGTTTTTAACCTTTTGTCTGAGAATCGGTAGGAATTCCGAAAATCAGTAGGACTACCGATAAATCGGTAAATCTGGTCACCCTGATCGTGGCATCTTAATACTTCTTTGAAAAGGTGACGAATCATCACAAGGATCTCCCCAAGCTATTTCTGATTAACCGCTTAAGAGCGGTAAGTAAGTAAGCTTCATGCTATACACAGAACATCATCTGCGACTTTTCCGCTTTCATAGGAGAAAATACTCAACTTCCAAAGGAATCAAAAACAACGGAAAACTGAACCACAGACCGAACAAACGGAATACCGTTCATAAATACACACGGAAATGACATTTGTTCGACAAAACCTGTACTCGCGAAGTTTTCTTCCAACCTTTTATCGAGTTGCAAAGCTAGTAAATCGCCTTCAGATAAGATCCACAAAACCACGATGATAAATAAAAACGAGCAATTTGAAAGCAGAAAAATGTTCACGTCCGTTTAGATGCAGAGCACATTTCGATCTTCATCTCAAATGGACTAAAGATCGAAAAGGAAAAAAGTCAAAAGACGGTAGGTCGAATAGAGTGTTTTAATTAAGTATAACAAAAAAATCGAAAGAAGCAAAGACATAATCTGAGTGAAGTGATTCATTTCAGAATGCCGTTTGAATTTTAATCCTTTCTTTTGAATTCTACTCACTTTGAACGTTTTCAAATAATTCTCTTGCAGTGAAGAAACAATTTCCATAGATTTCGAATTAAAAATAATTTGGTATTCAACTCAGAGCTCTCCTGAAATTGTTTTCCGTGTTCGTTTGAAGTTTTCCTGGAATTATTTTCGGATTTAATTGTAATCCTCCTTTCAGCAGACTCCCAAACTATTCTCCGAAAACTTATCCTCAGAATTCCCTTGGAGTCCTTTTCAAAATTCCGTAGGAATTAACTTCAGGAATTGGTATGAATTTTCTCATAAATTTCTTTCGAATGATATTCAGGGTTAACTTAGATTTCTACTCAAAACTACCTTGGTATTCAGGTTTCGTTTAGAATCTGGAGTTCCTGAGGACTACCTTGAAAACAGATTACACTTGATGTTTTCCTCACGTGTGCATAATAAAATTCATGATATTATTTTAAACGAGATTTTAAATACAAAATACTTAGTGAGATGGAATTATTTGGAAATTAGCTGAGTAATGATTAAATTCCCTAAGGATCATAGGTTTTCCAGGAAAAATTAAATTCACTGAGGATTCCAGATTTTCCAGGGATTTCAAGGTAGTAGACTCACTGAAATTCTATAATTTTTTTTTCTTCTTCTTCTTCTTCCTCTTCTTCTTCTTCTTCTTCTTCTTCTTCCTGACATGAGACGGAACAATTGTTCGCGATTTGAGTCCAATGTGGAATAGCTTTATTTATCCTTCTATTATTTGCCGATTATTCTCTTTTTCAAACCAGAAAATGTTCTTAGCAAGTGCAAGGAATTATTTTCCGGAATTTCAGCCTAGAATTTCGCCCAAATGATCGTTCAGCCTAATAACCATTCGGTTAATAACCATTCGGCCTAATGAACATTCGGCCTAATAACCCAGCATCCACCCATAGCATTAAATATAACCAGCCATCCTCCGTGATCACGATATTCGTGCAGGATGGTTGAATGTAGTTCACGTCAGGCAACACTCTACAATTCGATATTGAAGTTACAATTGAGCGATAGAATAATCGAGTTACAAAACAACAATCCCATAGGGAATCATTTTATAGGACAATAAAAGTAGCAATGAAATTAATTTATTACATTGGTTCTATACGAAATCTATGACAAAACGACGAAAGACATAAGGTCAAAGAACAAAAGGTTGAATGAATAAAAGGTTGAATTAAATTAAGAGGGACAAATAAATAATCAAAGGGACGTAAGCTCGAATGTGCAATAGGTTGAATGAACAAATTCTCGAAATGAACTTAGAGAGACAAAAAGTCGAATTCACAAAAGGTCTAATGGACAACAGGTCGATTGGAAAAGGTCAGACGGACAAAAGGTCGAATTGATAAAAGCTTGAATGGACGCATGCTCGAATGAATAACAGGTCGAATTTAAATTAAAGCGACAAACAAATGGTCGAATGGACGTAAGGTCGAATGGACAAGAGGTTGAATGCACAAATGGTCGAATTTAAATTATAAGGGCAAAATGTCGAATGAACAGCAGGTCGACAATAACAAAAAATCCTTTAAATTTGTCGAACCTCTTAACGGAATCCCTTTATGAAGAGCTTTGAGTGGGTTGGTTTATTTCCTTTAAATTCCGTTATAATTGCTTATCTTTTGACAGATACGCGTATTTCGTCTACTACTTGCAGACTTCTTCAGTGCCAAGTACTCAACACCACTATTGGATCAAAAAACCAACATCAAAATTGACGAAATATTGTTAATAACATTTTCACTCAGAGCTTAAAATCACTTAAAAAATTATTATGCATATACTCCCAAAGAAGTGCTCATGATTTTCATAAGTAATATATTCTAGAGTTATTTGTCTCTTATATTTCCGTTACACGCCATTTGACCTTTTGTTCACTTAGACTTTTTCTATTCAACCTCTTGTCCATCCAACCTTTTGTTCACTTAGACCATTTGTCCATTCGACCTTTTATCCCTTCGACCTTTTGTCCTGCAACCTCTTTACGTATCCATACTGCTGGCACTAATAAAGTTTACGCTGTGATTTTTTTGTATCTCTAACATTAAAAAAAAACTGCCTTCTCAGAACGTGCATCTTAATTTCTAAAATGTTGACTGCTGGTGGATCAACTATTCAAGGTCTACTGGTATAGTTTTCAGCTTGATTAGCTGAGTGTTCAGTGCTGAGTTCCAGGTAAAATAGAAAAAAAAATTATAGCACTCATTCCAACACACATGGGCCGGGACCAACGGCTTTACTTCCCTTCCGAAGGAAGGCATGATCAGAGATGTTATGCTTCAGAACATCCCGGCGGCGCCGACTGGGATTGAACCCAGGCCTGCTGGGGTGAGAGGTAATCACGCTTACCACTACACCACCGGCACCGTTTCTTTCGACCTTCTATCCATTCGACCTTTTGTCCATTCAACATTTTGTCAAGGGGTAAGTCACTCAGCACATTGTGCCGAAATTAGATTCGACACAGCTTGAGCACATCCATCGGCATACCTTGGGCACACCTTCGGCACAATCTCGTAGGCATTGGATTGTTGTAATTAAAATGGGAGTACTACTGGACAACTGTCATTGAGGTTGTTCACATCATTACGTGCCGTTTGACTGTATATTTAGGAGCATCTTCAAATTTAATATACCTTGCATTTTATCCACTCTACCTTTTGTCCATTCAACCTTTTGTACATTGCAAACTTTTGTCAGTTCAGCCTTCAATACATATAAGCTTCATTTGACCATTTGTTTATTCGACCATTAGTCTTTTGACCTTTCGTTAAAAATTCAAATTTTGAACTGAGCAGTCAACGTTTCAAAAAGAAGTGTTCACGTGATGAACATTGCCAAAGGAAACAACCTTCTTTCGAAATCCAGAGTCTGGATTTCAAGGTCCAGTTCATCTAAATTATCAAATTGACCCCAAGTTAAAGACAAACGGTTTAGCAAATAGTCGTTCCCTGTAATCATTATTCAACTTAGTGGAATTAATTAGCTGAAGCGTATTTCGTTCTTCGCGAAAAATGGTTGATATCATAAACACAAGTGATCAACTTGAGTGTAAGTCACCCTCTCAAGCCACCATCACAACTAATTACCATAAGTGGCACTCAAGCGGTTCGAAACTTTGTTCCCACATTTTCCTTATGTGTACTTAGACACACATCCTTAACGCATCACTTTTCCATCTCTTCCTCTCGAAATCTTTCCAGGAGTGGTTCAACGTAATCATCGCCCTGCTCACCGCATTCCTTCTGCTCGGTTCATCAACTCTGGTCGCCATTACGGTTCTGGTGACGACCGAGCTGGGCCCACGCAAGCTGACCGCTGCCACCAGCACACTGGCCACCGGGATCTCCGGCAGCATCGGACTCAGCTGGTTCCTGCCGATCCTGTGTGCCACCTCCACGCCCCTCGTGTACAGCGTAATGTTCGAATCACCCGACCACTGGTGGCACACGACGGATTCCTTCGGTTTCATCCTGTTCATCGTCATCGAGTCGCTGTTTGTGATACTATTTTTATTGCTGTTTCTGACACTGATGAAGAAACTTTTGTACCTCGCCAAGAAGCACGATAAACACAACACTTCAATCCTGAGAAGGTAGGTACAGGGAAAGGGAGTGACGGCGCAGGCGGAGAAACGATTATCCCCATCACCGCTTTTTGAATGGCTCTAATTGGGGTGGAGGGGATGGACGGTCTTTTGCTATAAAAGGATTTTATTACATGCTGGGAGCGCAATTGTGGCATCTGTGACAGAGCTGCGAATTGCTGTTTTATTTGAAAACATCAGCAATCGTACACCTCGTACCTAAAAGGTAATGTTGCATACAGCTAGGAACGATTTACAATTGCTTTACGACTAGGACTTTAGAATTTTATGACTGCAGCTGTCGATCGCATACACGATATGGTGCAGAGCTCCAGTGTCAATATGTGCACATGACGAAACGATCAAAATCTGAGCAAATGGAGCCATTTGGTGTCCGACGGATTGCATATAATAGTTCTGTACGAGGATAGATTTTTGCTCAAACAAAAAAGTCCTCTGCATTCAGCTACGCATAAAAAGGTACAATCCTTTTGGTGTTGATGTAAATCGCTAATGCGATCATATTGCAATATAGCTCATATAGCATTTTTTATTTTCAGCAACCCAGTTGTTCTATTTACTCTTGCTTCAAAAGCTAATATGAATCAGGAAAAAAATACCCGCAGTTCAGCTACATTGTAAAACCGGAATTCGTATTAAGTTGAAAACCACTGTTGTTTAAAATCATTCATTGTCGACGAACATTACAAAACAGCTTTGGTCACCATCGCGAGATGAAAATGTCGCTTTTCCGTGAGGAAGCTGTGTTACAAATGCTCATTTTAATTAAAATTAATTAGCGATTTTGTGATCGAGTGAGTTTGTGCGTGATTGAGTGAGTGTGTGAGTGTGTGAGTGTGTGAGTGAGTGAATGAAAATTATATCACTGCTGACTGTGGCTCACTGTTTGCGAAGTTTACAGGATGTATGTGTCAAACACATGCTTGTTGCTTATGCCGTGGATACACTTGGATGACAACTATGCAAAAACTATACAAGTGTGACCATGAATGTGCTCATAATTTATTATACAAATAATGGTTATGTTCATAGTTTGTCATACAAGTGTATCCGCGGTACTACTAGTACATCGTATCATCATAACATCGAATGATCTAAATGAAATGAGCATTTCAAACCTTAATCATAACATAAGTTAAATGACAAAAAAGTAATGGACTATAATGGGAATAACATAAAATCTAGTGAATCAGACAAAGTTTTCCGTCCAGGCTCCGTCCAAATCAAATGGAGACTAACGTCACAAATAATCGCAAAAAGTACAGGAACTCAGGGATGACTAAATTTATCTAATGGTTACTTGTGAAAAACCTGAAAAATCTGCCGAAAAATTAGAAATACTCAGTCCAGGAGTAGTACCAATAGACTGAGTAAATCCAATCTTTACTTTTCTCACATTCGGAAATTTTTTCCTGGACAAACCATTTAAAACATGAGGCAAATTTACTCATCGCTGAGTTCCTGCAGTGAATGTGCTTTACGAGTTAACTAAACTCAAATGTGGGTCGTTCTCATTCGCCGTGCAGGTTCCTATTGGTTCTTAAATTGTCTTATCTTGCTTCGCCTTCGCGCTGCCTTCAGATGATGTGAAATGTCTCAACGCGAAATGCAATAGATTAACTGTTTCCAACATGTACTTAATCAACACCATCTTAAGCTTACCATCCTTCAACAACAATAAATTCTTTCAACCGGATCAAACTGCACGAGCACCTCTACCAAAAGAAAATTCAATGAACCAGAAAATAAACTTTAATTCATAGATCACAATCTCTTTCCACACCCCAATAAAGTTGCACACCCACACATCTACTTCTTCGGAAACATTGACTGCATTTCCTCTAACATAAAAAAATGACTGAAATAAATACGAAACCCGTTTTCTCACTTTATCACACACGAGTCCAAAAGAGAGAAGAAGAAAGAAATACAGACAGCCGATGCCAAGCTGAAACTTTTACCAGACTCCACTTTGGCAGCTGCAGCAGCAACAACAATAACGTGGACAAAGTTTCAGGCAGCTGATTCATTTTTTTCTTCGTCTGTTACGTGACACACAACATAGTAGTAGAACTTTTTATCCATGCCTTAGTCCATTTTTCTCACCGTTCTAAACCTACTCCGGGAAGTGAGCTCGGGAAAGTTTCATTTTATCTTCAAGCGGCTTTTGTCGTACAGTTTTCCTTTAGTCCTGCGAGATGTCGAACTCTTTGGCATGCTAAAATTTACGACGGAGAGATCCAAGGAAAACTCCAAACCTCGGCATAAAGGACCCGGGTGAGATGAATAGGGCTGTTATTTTGGGGAAAATTTGTGGCGAAACTGTTTCATTTTGGGTGTACAATGCAAGAAGCAAGTATCGGCGGAAGGTCTGCGTGTCTATTACAAGGAGTCACTGCTTTCTGTGGATTCTTCGTTCAAGAAGCGCAGTGGCTAGCTAACTACCTACACGGGATTATTTAGATTTTTCTGATTTTCAAATAAGACCACTCCAAAACAGGGTTGCTTCCATTCACTTCACTATGAAAGAGGTTTTACGGAATTAGATGTTTCATGCTGCTTCTGACAGCACTCACCATTAGAGGGCGCAGGGTAGCCTTCAATAGTATGGGCTGGTGGAAAATCGACTTGAGAATGTATGGCAGAATTCGCTTTAAATTGAAAATATCAATAATGGCGGACAAATGATATATTATTTCTACATAATGTCACTATTACTAAAAAGAACAAAATGTAGAAATTGTCTCACTACTAGAAGCAAGGTCTTTTATTGAAGATTGCTGTACAAGAGCATAGAAGGTGTTCAGAGTTTTCCTTTCCTATGCCACAGAATTGACACATATCCTCTTTAAGTTTTCCAGTTAACTTCAAGTAATAAACCCTCCGTTACTCGCGCTGTTGTACTTTGTTCAACACACATGAGTTTTCCATTGCCATTTTGTTGCTGAGTAACCAATCGATCTGAAACCAAAGAGTATTCCACAAAAAAACTTGTTTTGATCGAAACAAGCTAAACTTTGATTACAGTAAACACCTAAAAAATGCGGATAATAGGGAAAATGTAAATGGAAACCGCGTCAACTGTGACCATTAGACTGATGCAAAATTTGAAATTTTCGCTCCACGGTGTTCAAACGGTTTCAAATTGGGTCCTGATTAGCCTCCGAAAGTTTAAACTCATTTGATAAGAAACTGACTTGGCACAAACCATTTGAAGTTTATATGGAAATTACTATGGGAAAACAAAACTTTTTGTTCCTTGTCTTCTAGCCTTTTTACATATTGCACTGTTAACAAATTATATTGCTATTCTTATGGGAATTTTTATCATCTACAACTTTGCAGGAAATCGTTTTTCAGCCAAACTTCAAAATAAATAGTTATTCTTTGTTTAAGAGATTGATAATCTTATGGTTATCTTGCAACTGTATTATGAGCAATACTGTATTCTGTAGTGTGACATAGTAGCCATGATTTCTGTCCTCTATTCTACGCGCCATAAACACCAATGTTGCCTGCTAAACAGTTGATTGAGCATAATCATAAGACATCAGTGACTTGAATCATTAATAACTTTTGTTCCTTACATTTGATCAAAAACTAGTTTTCAACAAAGTTGTAGCCGAGAAAATTTTCAACAAGTTCAGCTATTATTTTTTAAAGTAGAGTGAACGGGTGAGTTTTGAGATAGATATGAACCGAAATTATGGTTTCTTTATAGTAATTCCCATACAAACTTCAAATGGTTTGTGCCAAGTCAGTTCCTCACTAAATGAGTTCAAATTTTGGGAGGCTAATCAGGGCCCAATTTGGAACAGTTTGAGCACTGTGGAGCGAAAATTTCAAATTTCGCATCAGTCAAGTGGGATTTGACTTAATTGATTACAACATGGAATATATCGATATCCTGACCAGATAGAAAGTTACTGTCTCCAAAAAAAGTTGTGCAGGAGATTATAGCCTTGTCGCTGGCTGATAGTAGTTCAGAACTTTCTCACTACGTAGCGCTAGTATACATGTAAAATTCTCGCATGTGATATATCTCGAAATCCTGACCAGATAGAAAATTACTGTCTTTCACAAAGTTTTTCAGGAGGTTAAAGCCTATTGCTTGGTGCTCAATAGTTCAGAATTTGCTCACTACGTGACGCTTGTATACACGTGAAATTCTCAAATAAAATGGGGCTTTTTACGGATGTCACTTCACGGTAAAAACTTAACACTTGTCGTCACGGTGAAGCGAATCCCATTTGATTTGCACGGCAATCACGGCTCTTATTATGAGTATCACTTCCTTATCACCGTGTAGTGACACCCGTAATAAGGCCCAATATCTCGAGTTCCCAACCAGATAGAAAGGTACTGTCTTTGGCATAGTTGTTCAAGAGGTCAAGGCTTTTTCGCAGCTGGACAGTAGCTCAGAGTTTTCTCACTTTGCGGTGCTACTATAGATGTGAAACGCTCGCATATAAAATATCTCTAGATCCTGACCAGATAGAAAGTAAATGTATTGGGCAAAGTTTTTCAATAAGTCAAGATCTTTTTGTTGGGTGACAAAAGTTCAGAATTTTCTCACTATGTGGTGCAAGTATATACGTGCCTTTCTCGCATATTCAATAGCTCGAGATCTTGATCAGCTAGAAAGTTGCTGTCTTCGGCAAAGTTGTTTAGGGGGTCAAGATTTGTTGGCTGGTGGACAGTAGTTTAGAATTTTCTCACTTCATGGTGCCAGTATACATGTGAAATTCTCGCATATAAAATATCTCAAGGTCTTGACCAGATAGAAAATTACTGTCGTCGGCAAAGTTGTTCAGGATATCACAAAATTTTTGCTCGTGGACAGTTGTTCAAAATTTTGTCACTACGTAGTGCTAGTTGAATGTGAAATTCTCGCCTGTGATATATCTCGAGATCCTGACCAGATAGAAAGTTACCGTCTTGAACAAAGTTGTTCAGGAGGTTAAAGCCTAGAGTTTGTGAGAAAATTC